CGAGGGGTCGGGGGGCAGACACAGTCCTCCTCCTAGAGCGTTCTTGCAGACTTGGGGCTCACTCCCCGCTTGCCTTCCTCCGCACCCCAACTTGCAATAAAGAATCGCCTAGCTCGTGGCGCCCTGTCTCTCCTGTTTTCTCGCTGCCACGACCTGAAGTCTGTAATTCCGGTCTGTTCGGCTCGGCTCGCTCGAATCATGCTCGTCCCAGCTCCCCACGCCCGGGGGTCCGGCTTTGTGTGCGGGAGACCCCCCTCCTGCAGCCTGGGCGTGGGCTCGGGCGGGAGGACGGCGGGCCTGGGGCCCTGCTCCCGGGTGTGAGGCTGCGCCCATCTCCCCGGAGCTGAGGATGAGGATGAGGCGTGACTCCTGAGCGCGAGGAGCCGGTGGCTTTGCATGCTCCAGACCCTCACAGATCACCCCCACAGATCGCTTCTGCAGCCTGATTCCGGGGGAGGATTCGGGGGTGGGGGTGGGGGGGCAGCCACACCCTAACCGTGGATCAGACACCCTCCACCTGCGTTTTTGGGAGTTGCAGTTATCCTCTTACTGTCCCTGTCTCTCAACCTTATCTTCACGTTCTCTCTAAATGCACGTTACTTCTCTCTGCCTCAAGGTCACACAGGGGTAGAGCTACAACCGCGGCCACCAGCCTATTTGTGCATCCCGTGTGCAACCTCCTGAGACCTGGAAGGATTCGCCCGGGCCCCACCTTAGACCCGAAGAGTCTCAGACTATGGGGGAGGGAGGGGTGGGCCCCAGAAATCTGCATTTTTACCGGCTCTCCTGGCAGATTTTAGTGGGCTTAAGTTTGAGAATTACTTCCCTGGGTCATAGCTCATTTGCCCTCTGTGAGGGGATTTCTTAGGGGAAAAGCGACACATCCAGAGGTGCCCAGAAATTTCTGAGTCATCCGAAAAGCTCCTTGTAAGGCTTTTGATATTGATGTGATATGGAGGATGTTGATGAGGTCGGGGTTTGGGATTATCCAGGTAAGAAACACGCTCGAAGCGTTGTGTTTCCAGGAGTGTCCTTATTGCCCACGAACAAGGCGGGTTTGGAAATGGAAACCACAACCGCAGCCCAGTTGTTGACTCAGTGGTGACACGGCACGGTGTGGGTTAGATAAGGGCTTTTCACCCACACCTGGGCTGTCTAGGTTTGGAACTGCAGTCTGTGCAGTGCTGGAGGCCCTGTTTAAGAAAATAAAAGGAAAAGATAGTCATTTTGGAAAATTTTCACAATCAGGACTGGCCATGTGGCCTCATTTCCTTGGAAGAGGTCCTGAGCTTTAATTTCTTGGCGATAAAGCCACTTCTGTCCACACAGCAAGTCACACTTAAGTGACCTCTTCTCCCCAGTAACTGAGTGGTGCTGGGATTGAGGGGGGGGGGGCTCTCTGGATATTTTAGGGGGGCCCTGGCTTCACCCTGTGGGTGTTGGAGCCTTTTGGGGAATGAAGGCATGAGGCCTGAAAGAAGGTGAATGGAGGTTACGGCAAAAGGGCTAGAAGGTGTGTTCTGAGCGATAGGAAACTGAGGCACCCGCAAGTGGGAAGGAAGAGAAGAAGGGAGGGAGAAACAGCATAAGAAATAGTTTGGGGCGAGAAAACATGGGCTTTCTGTTCTTCATATCCAGGCTTGAAAAAAGGCTTTCTCACAGCGACTTGTGTCCAGTTTTTCTCTGAGGCTTGTGGGGTATAGTATTTCACAAACCCACGGATCCCGCCATGTGTGGGGAATCTGATAGCCGAACTGAACTGATGGATGGGTTGGATAAGCCAGCCAGCATCAAAAAGTCAATCCAAGCTGTAATCATGTCATCTCAGAATTGTGATAAGCCACTTCCTCAAGGTAACTCCTGTAAAAAAAAAAATAAGAACCTTTCTTATGTGTCAGTATGCCTGTTTCTTCTATTAAAAAATATTTTTGTCATCGAAATTAGTGGAATATGTTTATTGGAAAGGACTTGGCAGGGTCAGTGGGAAAACTAAGTTGATGTTTGTACGTTACATTTTTTTAAAAATTTATATTTTATTGATTTTTTACAGAGAGGAAGGGAGAGGCCTAGAGAGTTAGAAACATTGATGAGAGAGAAACATCGATCAACTGCCTCCTACACACCCCCTACTGGGGATATGCCAGCAACCAAGGTACATGCCCTTGACCGGAATCGAACTTGGGACTCTTCAGTCCACAGGCCGACGCTCTATCCACTGAGCCAAACCGGCTAGGGCTGTACGTTACATTCTTAATGTTATTGAGAAGACTCAAGTCTCCATTTTATTAATGTCACAGGCCTTAAGAGCTTTTGGAAAGAGTGAATTCTAGGAGCCCTCTGGCTTTATGTGGGTTTTTTCCCGGGCAGGTAAGTAGACTGCTGTGAGGAGAACGGAGCAGCACACCTGAGTGGAGGAGTGTTCTGAGGCCACCACTCTGTGACCTTGAAACTTATATCTGGGCTTTGGGTCCTCTGCAGTGTAAAGCTAATGTTGGTGTAACTGTCAAGCTGATTTTCAGTCTTCGTTCTTCTAACTTTTCTTTTTCCCTTTATCATATAAATGGGCATCTAATAATACTGCCTGCTTGTGATGATCGATGTTTTAATGATACCAGCGCCACCTGGAGGAGGCTGTGGGTAAGCTCTAAGAAAAGTCATGGGCATGGGAACCGGTGGTGTCTCACTCAGCTGAGAACTGCCATTCCCCACTCACTCCTAAATTTGGAGAGGCAGGAAATGTCTCAGGCGAAATACAAGAGTCCTTCAAGCTCCTCACCTCATACGTAGTAGCTTATATGGAGGATGATAGTGGGAAGAGACATTGAAAGATTCTAGAACCCCACGTGTTTCTCAGCCCTGACAAAGGGTGGGCAGAAACACGTCGGAAGGGCTTGGGTATCGGTAGTGCAGGAAACAAAGCTGCAGTTAAGGAAACACGAGTCGGAGAGGAAGAGGCACCTGGCCCAGGCGGGGGCAAAGGGCTCTTATCCGACAGCTGTGAGATTATGGAAAATGGGAAGTGAGCAGGTGCCGTGTAAAAGGAGAGCTGCCGAGCGGCCCGGTGAGAAACCGTGCTGCAGAGTGTAAAGCTAACGATGCTTTGAGGTGCACCAACACTGGTTAGTGTGAAACCTTAAAACCACACGGGGACTACAGCCCGAAACATAGAAACGAGTGAGTCCTGTTTCCCACTAACCAGACATTTGAAATGTAATTATGGCTTTGTCATCTGTTGTCTGAGGAAGGAAGAAGGCTCTGGATTCTTGCAATATCTGAGTTAGAAGGCACTTCAGATAGCGAACAGTTCACAGCTTTGCTGCACGAAGTGAGAGTGGTGGCCCCTGTCTGGGTTTGGGTTTCCTGAAATATCTCCAGAAGAGCTCCCACAATCAAGGAACCCACCACTGCCTTAAAGGAACCCAAAATGTGTTTTCTCCTGTCTGGAATTCTATATTAGTGGCAGGCTGTTTTCCAGAATATAGTTGGTAAGGGGGTGCCCCAAATGTATTTTCCATGTTACAATTCATCAAGTTTGTGGAATTTATCGTTTGACTTACTAGGCACTCAGTAAATGGTGTCTCTTATTCC